GCAGCGACCGCCCGAATTGAATCAGAGGCGGCAGATGGTTGACGCTCCACGTTTGGGACCAAGAGTAAAGGGCCAAGCGCCCATCCCACCCCTGTGGCGTGAGGGAGGGAGGTGCTCCTCTCCTCGGCGGCACGAGGCAAGCGCCGGCCCGGCTTTCGCCACCGAGGAGCCCCCACCACGCCGGAACCTAACCGCCGGCTCCCGGGCCACACGAGGGAAGGAGGGAGGAAGGGCAGGCGGGGGAGCCGCTGCCAGCAGGGGCCCGCCGGGCCAAAGGCGGCCAAGCCCAGCGGCATCCCACAAAGAGGGCAAGCTCCCTTCCCTCCCCCCTGCTTCAGCCCGGGCGATGGGGAAAGCCGCACTCACGCCCGCCCGCCCCCGCCGCCGGTTTCTCCTTACCTTCTCCGCTATTCCATGAGGGAGGAGGGGACCTGCCTCCTCGCCCTCGCAAGAGACCGCCGCTACCGAGGGAAGCCAACGGCGGCCACCCGCTTGCAGAGCCCGCAGTCTGGCAGGAGAGCCGCCACAAGGCTGCTGCGTGTCTCGGGGAGACGCCGTATTCCCCACTTCCTTTCCCCCGGTTCCGCCCGGGAAACTGCCACTAGACACTGGACTACACCTCCCAGCCTACCCCGCAACAAAACGCGAAGGCACGCCATTCGCCCAGTAAGAAGACGCCTCGGGGATCCTGCATAAAAGTTCTCTGACGTTTCCCGGCGCGCACCCAATCAGGGAAGAGAAGCCCGTGGCCAGCCGGGAGAAATGGTGTCTGCGCCGAGCAGGGAATGCTGGTCGTTGTAGTTTCGTTCCTGCTGGACCGCTTAGTGGGGATACGTTGTCTCACGGCTTTGCTCTTCTTGTCAAATGGGAGTTCCCCCAGGGCACCCCCGAACCACCCAAGGCTCTAGCAGGGCTCGACATCTTTATCGTCTCTTCGTAACAGATCCACCAGTCATTCAAACCGGCGGTTTTCCTAGGGAAATTATTGAGTTCCATTACTTCGCCTCGACGGCGTGCGGTCTGATCCCTTGAGCCGCTCCGAGCATGCCAACGCTACACTCGTTTCAGTTTGACTATGATGGCTTCCCTAAAAGGACGCTGGGGGGTGTAGTTCTGCAAAGGACTGCTTTAATCGGTTTTAAAGTACTGTACCTCCATGCGGTGGCCACGTTGGGTTTTTTCTTTTTTTGTTTTACACAAGGCACAATGTAAAAGTGCAGCCTAGTCATGTTTATTTGGAAGATGACTGACGGATTTATTCCCAAATAACATCCTTATATCCCTGGAAATTTGATAGGACCTTGGATTGTAGCCTGAAAACAATGTAACATTGGCCAAACGTTAGAGTAGTTAATTGTAAGATGTTTGGATGAGAGGGGGGCATAGTGAACGCTTTCGTGAATGCTGTTTGTTATTGCTAATCCAAAAAGCAGAAGCCTAAAGATTCTGTGAAACATATTTAAGTTAATCATTGCAGGACAAGTAAATGGAAACCCAAATACACTTTGGTTGGCAGAAACACACTGAGAGAAATGCATCAAATGTCTAATTGAAGCAAAATGATCCCGTATACTGTATTTGTATCCTCTCAATCAATAATACAAACTCAGGCAATGCACAAGAATTGGAAGGATCAAATCCAAAGTGTTATACATATTTAAATACATCACAGAAAATTTTTTCAAACTAAGATGTTCAGTTTAAAGTGAGATATTAGGTGAGATTTTATTAATTAAACCATCTTGATCAGATACAAAGGTGGCTTTTGCAGATGATTCACTAAGCATCAGAAGAAACACAACATATTACACTGGATTTTGTCTGAGGACTAAAGAAGCATGTTTCCTTCTAGGATACTGTTTAATTAGATGAAAGTTGATTCCTAATGGATGGAAGATACTTGTATTTTGTTCTGTTCAGTTATGTGATTGTTCACATCTCATAGTATACAGTGGACCCTCGACTTACAGACGGCTCAACTTACAGACTTTTCGAGTTACAGACTTCTCTGGCCGCAAAATTTAGGTTTGACTTGCAGCCGGAGAATCGACCTACAGACCGGGAAAAAAACAACAAAATGTAACAAAAACGGCTGGTTATGGATTAATCGGTTTTCAATGCATTGTAGGTCAATGGAGCCTCGACTTACAGACTTTTCGACCTGCAGCCACCGCTCCAATACGGATTAATTCCGTAAGTTGAGGGTCCACTGTATGTGGAGTCAAAAGCTAGCAATATCACTATGACAGAGATGATCTACGAAAACAACAGCTGCTTGATTACTGAGATGAGAGAGAAAGATGATCTAATACCAGAATGAAGTAGCTTGCTTCATTACAAGTAGAGATTTAACAGCCAGTGTACTTGTTGACTTAGTGCTGGACTGAAACTTTATTACTCCATTAGAATAAATGTCACCCTTTTATTTAAACTAAGTTACTATAGTAATACTGTTGGAATTTAGATCACAGCAACATTCAGTTTCAAATGCATGTCTTTTATTATAACTGAGTAGTGATGTCAATTACATGTTGCACATGTCTGAGCATGCTACTTGTATTCTGGTTCTTGCTATATAATTTTTACTAGAAAAACTTGTTATGTTACAAAACTGTTCAAAATAAGTTCACAGTCCTCCAGTTAATGCAAAATCTATGGGCTGTGTCATTAGAAGTTCCCTCTACAAGACACAGCACTGGATTTACAGAGTCTTTGCAATATTACTGTTATTAAAACATAAAAGTCAAGCAGGGCATAAGACTGCCTAATAAGTACACTTTAGATTCCTAAAGACACCAGCCACTTCAACTGTCCTATGTCATGCCCCCCTAAACTACTTCCAAGTCCACCTAAACTCACTACTCCCTTTCCTCTGTCCATCTCAAAGTTTAAATACTGTAACTTATTTTCCCAAACATTCCTGCAGAGCACTGGTCTTGAAAGTCCATTCTACTCATGAATGTCTATTTGGAAATATGCCTCCCAATCATCTTTAGAAGTACTCGTCACAAGGATAATCCTGGACAAAGGATGATCACTCACTTATGCTGTTGACTGGTTCTGCTAAGTTCCACAGTAATATGGTCTACAAATTGCAGCAATTACAGGATTAAATTCTCAGTAAATTAACTGGATTCAGTTGAGTTTTTATAAAAGTAATCTAAGATTGAACTTCAATGTCTAGTCTTACATAAGTGTTCGAAAGAAGTAGCATGCTCTCCATAAGATGTACTGCAAAACAAATATTTATCATACCATTGTAATCTAGCTGCTAGATGCCATGTACCCATATTTCGATCTTTCATTGAAATCTACCAGTTACTTCTTGAAGAAGAGGGGAAACTAATGGGGTTAGAACAATAGCAGAAAACCTTTAATGTTCAGTTTTAATAAAATTTCAACACAACTGAAACTAGTTTATGTTAACAACCCACGACTTGTATATGACACTTTATAATTTAAAATAATTTAGACATTTAAGAAATTAGACATTTAACAAATAAATGTTTTTTAAAAATTCTTTTTAAGGCTTACAGTAAGTGAAAATATATTTTAATACAGCTTTGTTAATAAGAATCAAATGATCAATTTTAGTTAGGCCTGTGAGCACCAACAATCAGATGTACACTAGTTTAAGTTCTATGTGAAACATGGCCTTTCTGGAAGTCCTGCACTTTCACATTAGGAATTTGGTGAATCAACACCTCCATACAGTGCATTGATTCAAATGGGCCTACATTAACTGTGACTTACAATGCTAAAATAATTCAATGCCAAAATAATTTAGGCCCATTTCAATCAATGTATGACTCACCAAACTCCCATTGATCCAATGACTCTGTTCTAGCATGACTTATTATGTTAAGCAACAGGATTTTAGCCATTGTTGTTAAAAGAACCATAAGACGTACATGGCAGCTTTATAACGGTTGGCCTCTCACGATTTTCTTTCCTAAAACAACGTGATTATCCACAGAAACTACGTATAACAATGAAGGCTCACGTATCCTTGCCAAAGCAGAAGAAAACCTCAGGGCGAGTAATATGCTCTTGTCTGGGAAGAGAGGAGGACCGCAACTCCCATCATTCCTCATCAGGAGCTGCATTTGTTACGGTTGATGGGACTTGCAATTCAACACTATTTGAAGACCCACATGTGACATAACTGCCCAACTACCATGACAGCAACTTGGCCAGGAACATAAGAACGCCCCCTGTGGACGCTACCATTCGATGCGTCACGTAAAGTACGTTTAAGCGGTTGAAAAACGACCAATAGAATCGTCGCCTCCGAGGACAGACGTTTCATCCACCCAGTAGAAATGCTCCTCTTGAGAACCAATAGGTAAGATTTGGTCGCCCGTAAGGTGGTGCTTTGCGTCAGAGGGCGCGACGTGTGGGTGTTGCGCATGCGGCCCTTTCTTTTCTGCGAGGCCGCGAGCGAGGCAGCACCATGAAGGCGTCGGGCACCGTAAGCGCTCCTTTCTTGGGGAGGGGGGTGTCTCGTACAAAAGGGGTTGGGGGCGCAAGAGTACAACGGGAGAAAGACACAGAGGATGGCCGCGGCGGTGCCCGAGGGAACGGGGGAGGCATCCTTTCCAAATCTAATGTCGGTCTTTCACGAGCGAGCTCCTAATATGGCCGCCATGGCATTCCCCCGCTCCTTGTAGCGTGGAGCCGGCGCCGTGGCCCTGAGGTCCTGGCAACGGCGGTGCGTGCGGCTCCTCCAAACGGCGTCTCTTTCCGATTTTTAGGCTACACTCTCTTCTCTGGTCGACTGAAGGAAGAAAGAGAATACGGGCTTAACTTTCGAGTAGTCCAACTCGTCTCTTTCCTCCTTCATAATGGTTATTTCTAGGCCCAAGGTAGATTTTATGGATGTTTGAACCCAGAGACAGTGGTATCGTTGGAAAGCCGTTAAAAGGCCATCAGTGTTTATATACACACACACATACACACATATCCATTTTAACGTTAAAAGGCCATCAGTGTTTACACACACACACACATACACACATATCCATTTTACTTTTATGTGCTAACATGTCAAGTGTTCAAAGTGTTTCCTAAAATGTGGCATTGTACCCTTTGACAGTTTGGGAAGGCTGGTGAGGCAGATTTTTGCTGATGGTTTATGAGTATCATGCTTTGTGAAAGAATTTCAGTTGAGTGAAGTTTGACTCTTAAAACAATTAGTCAGTTGTTTTTTTAAACTAGTTAGACCTATACTGTACAGCTAAACCCAAATCAGTTATTGCTGTATTTCTTATAAGGTATCTGGAAGGATCTATAGTGGTTTTATTTGGTTGGTTGGTTTAAAGCCACCTGTTTCCCAGAACCATGGTTGTAACGCAACTTGTAATACTGTATAATTAAAAGGCAAATAGAGTTGAAAAACAATACATTGCAATTTTAAAGCATAATTTAATAATAATTCAGCTCAGTTAAGGTTAGGATACCAAGTTCTTTATAGGAACATGCCAACTTACTCTCACAAGACCGACCTGTGGTATAACCTAGATTGAGCACAGCAGCAGTCAGAAAGATTGGTGCTTTTTCTGGTCATGCAGATACAATCATTTCAGTTCTAATAGTAAAATGGCTTTTCTTGTGTATTCTCTTGTTTTTAAGCTGAGGGAGTATAAGGTGGTGGGGAGATGCCTTCCTACTCCAAAGTGTCCAACTCCGCCTCTCTATCGTATGCGTATCTTTGCTCCAAATCATGTTGTTGCAAAGTCCCGTTTCTGGTACTTTGTTTCTCAACTGAAGAAAATGAAGAAGTCGTCTGGGGAAATTGTGTATTGTGGACAGGTATGATTATAACAAAATTAATAGTCTTAAATATTAAACTCCTTAATTTTGCTGCTGTTAAAGTGACTGAACTTGCCCACATACGACCATTTGTTTGGGATCCAAGGCTGTTTTCAGAACTTACATAAGCTTCCAGAGGTGCTGGTTCTGTCAGTGTTAAATGTGGGGATGGGGACTCTTACCTTTTGCTTGTGGTGGCATCTGGTTGGCCATTACTGTGGAGAATGCTGGGCAGGCAGAGTAATCCTTCGGTGGTCATCTGAAGGGATTTGGGATAATGATACTGAAGTTCATATCTGCCCTAGGGGAGGAGTTCTTTGGGTGAGAGAGCTGTTCACCTTGAAAGTCTCTGGTAGATCCCCAGAAATATAAATATAACTCTGTCAGTAGTCAGCTGACAGTAGAGAAGCAGCCTTGGATCTATGGGAATTGCTTCATTCACTAGGAGGAGGCTCAGGGACATCAATTCAGATGCCACTGGCATGTCTAGTTTCTTCACATTGGAAGATGGTGAGGGGGGGAGACAAAGAAATGCAGGTAGAGGTATCTGTTTTTAAATTTTAATTAGACAGCCAGTCATCAAAGGGCAACCTGACTGTTAGTAAAAAATGGAAATCTAGTAGCCTATTGTTAGAGGTGTCAGAAGAGAAGCAGGCGTGGAAGGGTATCACAAAACTATTAGCTGACTTGCAACAGAAATTACTATTTTGCTGCCCTTGCTGTTGTGCAAGTTTGTTTGGAACACAGTTGGACTTCTGATAAATGCTCCCTAAATGGGCCCTGGTTTGCTCCATTAAGGAAATAAATGGATACCTCTACTTGATTGGATGTTTTGGGGGACAAGGGATTGAGTAGATTATTTCCATACATGTTTATTTTCTATGGATATACTCAAGTAGAGGAACAAGTTAGTGCTCTAATTCTTATTGATGTAACATAAAAGGTTCCAGAAAGATGTATCTGGTAAGAATGGGGTAGAGAAAAGAGATCAAGAAATGTAGCAATTCATAATATTTTGTAAAAAGTTGGTATTCATTAAGTTGTATTAGTAGCTAATCTGTAATAAAGAAACCCAAATATGCAATATGTATAGATTCAAGTATTAATAAATGTTTAAATTTTGATTAATTTATTGCCTTAAAATGAGTGATTATTAATTTGCTGCTGTTCTGACATATTGCTGTAACCCCTAGGTTTATGAGAAGTCTCCACTGAAGGTGAAAAACTTTGGCATCTGGTTGCGCTATGATTCTCGTAGTGGAACTCACAACATGTATCGGGAGTACCGGGATTTGACAACCGCTGGAGCTGTTACGCAGTGCTGTAAGTAGATACCAATTTGAGTGTTTCATTTCTACTTGATGAGCAAATCTAGGTAAAAAGAGGAATTGTCTTGAACATTGGCTTCCATCCTTGGGTAACCCAGGTGTTCTTGGGCTGTAAATCCTAGAACTCTGCTAGCCAGGATTTCTGAGAACCAGTGATGTTGAAAAATGTTACCGTTTGTTTGTATTACACATTTTCTACTTTATTGTATTCAACTGTAGCCTTTATTTCTATGATAAAGCATTGTTTTCAGATCACATGATAGAATCTGCAGTTACGTGAGTGGAAAGTTTTAAAGCACTTTTTAATATTTACAGTTGTTTTTCTCCTGGCTATTAAGTAGCCAGATATAACATGTGAATCTATCTTTCATCTATGAGATGGAAATACTCTAGGCTTTATTTCATTAAGTGGGAGTGAAAATATTTTGAATTATGCATGAGTTTGGTAGACTTTGCATATGGTTATATGATGAATTCTTCCATCATTTTTATGACATGATCATAAGAAGTATTGGACTGAAGCATAATCTCACATTGGTGTTTCTCAAATAAAAGACTGCTGTCTTCTGCACAGTGATATAAAAAGAAAAAAAAATTCTTCAAAAATTTGGCATATTTCAGGTACCAGATGTTGGCAGAATTCCTCTGGAATGAATATTGTATAAACATAATAATTTACTACTTGTAAAATGATTGCAGTTTGAATCTAATACAGTACTGTAATAAAAAAGACATCTGTATTAACTGTGAATAAATTTTTAAGATATTATTTAACATACGTTCCCACATAGCTTATCACAGTAATCAGAATAACTGTTTTTAGGATTTCATTGTTAAGCACAATTTCAACTCCATAAAGCCTTTTCTGGACAGTGACAACTAAGTTTGTTTTGTTCTCAAATAAAGAATATAGATAAGTGGGCATTTTCTGTGGCTCATTTTAATTGAAAGCTGAAATATAGCATGCCCTCTATTCTTAATTGTGATATCATACATAACTAATTTAGAAAGAATTGTAGACTTCAACATTTTTAAAAAATTAGCTTAAAATTGTGGTTGTTCTGAACTGTTTATGCAACAGAATAATCATGGGTGGTTACTAGTGCTGAAAACAAACTGCATACAAACCCAAAGAACATTGTTCATAATAAAATGTTCTTGTCATGTATGCAGATATTATATGCACCTTGTCGCCTTTCAAGAGCTGAAGTGTTTTTGAAAGTGAAATTGAAGGTCCTACAGACAGATATTCAAAGATACTTGTCATCTACTGTCCTGGTTTCTGTTAAAATAGTAAACATTTCTCTGGCACATTGCAGATCGTGATATGGGAGCTCGTCATAGGGCTCGTGCTCACTCAATTCAGATCATGAAAGTGGAAGAGATTGCTGCTAGCAAGTGCCGCAGACCAGCTGTGAAACAGTTCCACGTAAGCAAAGCAAATAATGTGTTTTTTCTCATCTCCACAAAGTTGACAGTTTTAATCGCAGTAGCATAAGAAAAAAAAATTAGTAGACTGGGAACTGCAAGCTATTATTGATTATAATAATATCCAAGAAAACATTAAATATAAATAACTGGAAGAATCGTTTTAGCCATTTGTTGTGTTTTGACCCTCCAGTTCCTATGCTGGAGAACTAAAATTCATTACTGAAAAGACCTTTCCACATTACCTAAATATATATAAATTTGCACCTTGAATGTTTTCATTGTAAAATAGAATAATTTATCAGAGGAAAATCTTTTATAGTTTTATGCTTAATTTTAGTAAATAAATCATACCTGGCCGTAGTTTCTCTCAGGATTCCATTTCTTAATTTTCTTTTGAGTATTCCTTTCATGTGATTTTCCTTGTTTTATATTCAAGGTGGTTTTAATTTATTTGGTATTTGTTCAGTAGAGATTTTCTTTTCAAGCCTCTGAGTATCATGCTAAGGAGGAAGTATTATTTTATCTTAGTACAAATTGACACATATCTATGCATATGTAAAAGCTACATTTCAAAAATAACATAAAATGAGGCTTAATGTTGAAGTAATCAGTTGCATTTTACATTAATAGAAATGGTTTTGAATACTTCTTTCTCAAGAAGTAGAGCCTATGGGGATTGAACTATTTTGGCTGTCTAAAGAGGATACTCAAGTATCCTAAAGAGGATACTCTTATTTCGCATTAGTTGTATTTCCTAGTACCTTTTTGATGTTTCCTTTCTGCCTGTATGTAGGTATGCTATTAAAGCACATCCTGTTTATATTCATTGTAGTATTCCTATCTAGAAAAATTAGATACAATCACTGTCTTTTTAGTAACAATTTGCATTACAACTTAAGAAAAATAACTTGAATTATTGAAACAAATTCAATGATAACTAAGCTTTATTTATACCTCTCTTCATACAGGATTCCAAAATTAAATTCCCTCTGCCACACAGAGTTCTGCGTCGCCAGCATAAACCACGTTTCACCACCAAGAGACCAAATACTTTCTTCTAAATGCAGTTTTAGTTTGTGTGCTCTGGGTTTCAATAAAATTCTTCTTGAATGCCTGTTGTTTTGTTTGTTTTCTTTTTCCTGTTTGTTATTTAGAGGTGTTATTTATCCCAGCCTTGCAAAAAAAATGAAAATGTTACAGCAGAGTTGCCAGTTTTCCCTGCATTCTCCTGTCACCCTGATATACTTTCCTTTCTGTCCACTGTGTGCCTGTGCACAGGGCATTAGGAGCCAAGATTTGAAAACAGTGTTGTTTTCTGAACAAAACTAAATCCAATACAGAAGCTTATTCCAATATTTCTGTACCACTCTTCATTGCAAACATGCTCTCAAGGTAACATAAAAGCATATACCCATACACCATCTAGAATCCTCTTGCTTGGTATAATAAGTCACAGTAATGTGGGCATTTGGTGAATCAGTGACTTAAATTCCATTGATTTAAATGGGCTTAGTGACTTAGTTGCAGCTAGATTAGCCTCAATTGAACTTTTAGAGGCATTGACTCGTTAAATCCCTCTGATTCAACTGGTATATTCTAATGTGACTTACTAAACAACAGGATTTTAGCCAAAGACTGCCTTTATTCCTTAATGAGTCAGTTTCTTTTGAAGTTACAAGGGAATATGAGGGGCAGGGGTCCTCTACGCGTACATATATGTAGGAGGTTAAGATGCAAGTATTGATTGGCAACTTTGAATTACCAGTCATGCTTATTCTCATTTCTTGTATTTCAGTTATTAACACAGGGAACTCAGGAAAATCCATCTAGTTTGTGTACTTTGTCCTGTTATGCCTAGCATAAAGAATACCAGTTTACCAAATTTCTAGCTACTGGGTTTTAAAAAATTTGCTGAAGATCAGAGACTGTGCTGACAAGAATGTTTTACAGTATAGTTTTGTGGATGTCTTATGTTTGCCTAGGGAGTGCAGCATATACATTTTTCCAGTGTTCATCCATCTGAAAGTGTGTTTTCATATCTTCATTTCTCTTAATAGAACTGCACCATCCTAGCCCACGCCCCCAAGAACACCATGCTAAACCACTTAAGAGTACTCTATACCTAGAAAACCCTGGAAAGATTTGCCATATGTTGGAGTTGATAGTGCATAAAACTTATTTATTTTGTATAAATATTTTTTACCCCACCTTTCTCCGTAACCTGACCCTTGCTGCCTGACCAATTGTAGTGTCCTGCAGTGCGGTTCCCAAAGCATACTAGGTGTTCGCAAGAAAAGAGTTCTGAGTCTGTGGTATGTTCAAACTAACTGGCCTACGTGCTCCTGAACTCCGTCGGGTAAATGTTGCATTTCCCAGAGTATCGGGTGTGTAGGGAAAGTTTACAAGGCGGCTCACTAAAGCGATGTGCCAGACGTGGCTATGGAAACAAGTTATTGCACGCAGGAAACCTGACGCTGGAAGTTCAACACCACCTGGGGACCCAGGTTTGGGAACAACTGTTACTTGGTTGGAAGAACCTTGGCCCTGTCGAGACTAGAGGCTATGTATGGGTGCCCCTACACGGTGTTCACTCCCGCTCGAGCTTCATTTTGAATTGCTCTAATTTTTGAGGGTACAGAACTGGCTTTGAAAAGGCAACATTATTGCTTGGAATGACAATGCGGGCGGGGGACATCTGTATGATGTTGAGTCCCTGCATTTTCTTTTCAGGCAATAGTGTCTTTCTATGCACCTTTCATATACGTGGAAGTGCTTGACTGGAATCGCCGGAAAGCCGGCTGTTTTCTGAAAGGGCGGGGCGAGCGGGGCCGCCGAAGCGCCTCAGGCTCTCCCTTCCCTTCCTGGTGAGTCACGTGGCGGGGAGCCTCTCCCTCCCGAGTGGCTCCGGAGTGGGAAGGGGCGGAGCCTCGGAGTGTTATGGCCCCCGCTTTCTTCGCTGTCACGTGAGTGCCGTTACGCGCGCGCGCGTGTCTCTCTGTGTGTATGTGTGTAGCCCGCCGAGCGTGTATCTGGGGAAGCAGCGCCCAGCGAAGAAGCCGAGGGCGTCGCGGCCGGCGAATGGGGGAGGCGATCCCGCTGGGCGCGCCGGTGCCGGTGGAGCAGGCGGTGCTGGAGACCTTCTTCTCGCATCTGGGCATCTTCTCCTACGATAAGGCCAAGGACAATGTGGAGAAGGAGCGGGAGGCGAACAAGAGCGCCGGCGCCAGTTGGCTTTCGCTGCTGGCCGGGCTGGGCCACCTGGCCGCGGCCGAGAAGGCCTATCACAGTATGACCTTCCTGGGCCAGAAACTAGGTAGTACTCGACCTCTGCTCTGCTCCTGCCCGGCTGCTCGCGCCCTCCTCCTCCTCCTCCGTTTCCGCCCCTCCCCCCGAGGTTTCCCGCTTGGCCTGCGTGCCCCCCACCCTCTGTCTCGGGCATGAGCTCGCCCGGGAGGAAGCGGGGGTGGGGGCACTGCCGGGTCCTAGGCACACGTGGGAACCTGGCACCTTTCCTTCCTCGCCAGCATGGCAAGGGCGTGGCTGCCTGGCCCCCGTGATGGGCCCGCTGTTATCTAGGGCGTCGCAGGTAGAGTTGCGGGGGGGGAGGAGGGGAACGAGGCTTGGCTCTGTATTTAATTGGTATTCATTTGTTCAGTGCTGTACCCCAAGAGCTCCAGTTATTGGCCTCTTAGCAGATCTCCCCCTCTTTCTCAACCTCCCTCCCCCCCATATACATTTGGGGTATGGGTCCCACCGGGTGTGCATCACACCTATGGGTTTCATCAGAAACTCTCTTGAGTCCCAAAGTTAAGGCCATCTCAAAGGTATATTTGCTAACAAGGCATGCACTTCTTGTGTAAAAGGCAGGTTTCCGCCATGGATCTGAAGCGCTGCCTCTGTTAAGGCTTTTGATAATATCTTCCTAGTAAAAGGAAATTCAAGAATAGTGATACAGTATTTGTAAGGATGGATTATGTCCTGGCTTGCACAGTCTGCAAACCATTTGTTCTCTACTCGTCTTGGCAATTAAAATCCTTGACAGCGCAGTGTGGATTGTAGATGAGAACCAAATAGATGTAACAGAACCTGACAGGCAACTACTGTAGTATTTCCCACTTTGGAAGGAAGCCCTAAGAGTCAGAGAGGGAAGGAATGCCAAGTGAAAATTGGGAAGGTACTGATGAATAATGGGGTCTTCGTGGCCTGAAATGGAATGTATCACATATAGGCAGTTGACTGATTTTCAATGTGTTTAGTTAATTTTCTATTCAGATCTATGAGGTTTAGGAGATGACTACTTTGATACGTGAGAAATGCCCCAGGATTGCAACAGTCAGATACACATTATTTTCCTTTGACTACATAATATACCAGTCAATGTAAATCAGCCCAGGGTTTTTCCTCCCTAATTGTGGTTTCCCACCCACCCACCCACCCACCCATGCACTCACACACTGAAACATCTACTTTTTTTAGAACTGAATGGATTTTTATCAGTTTTGATGGTATGATGGCTTGAGCCTATGTGGAGGGGTTTCCAAATGTTCTGCTTAAAGCCATTGCACCTAGCTACTATAGCAGTGAGAAAGACAGGGCAGTGGGGAATCCTCTTCTCAAAACCTGGTGCGTGGGTCTACTTGCTTTCCTCTTCCCCTCCCATTGTTCTGTTTCTATTTTTCTTTCTTTTAAAGACTTGCTGTCCTAGCACTAGGGCAGCTAAGTGACCAAAGGAAAGAAAAGAGTGAGAAATTGGCAGAGCAAGAAGAGGAAGTTATTAATCAACTTTGTTTCCAACTTGTTATGGTAGCTCTGCTCTAAATGTGCCTCCTGCAAATCTGAATAGCTAGAGTAGAGGTATTTTAAGTTGCAAACAAGGCCGAGGGCCAGTTTCCTCCTTTTTCTCTGCTGAATCCTATGTGGTCAGTTGAAATGAATTAGCCTGGGGAAATGTTATGTCCCATCTGCAGGTCCACAGCAAATCCATTTACACTTTTCCCACTGTGTAGTTACACCCTTAGATAGCATTCTGTGAAGAGAAACATTAAAAGTTTAATGTGTTGATGTTATCATTTGCTCTCACGCTGATAGAACTTGTTTGACGGATGGAAAGGTTTCATCAATATGTTTGATTTTTAGTGATCTAAATAAAGGTATCACCACTTTTACTTTTGGATTGCATAAAGGACTACATGGCTATTTTTTTTGCTTTTTTAAAAAAATCAACATCATTATAGTTGACTTCTAAAATCACCTAGTATGTATGTTCTAAGTATTACACAGAAATAGAAAAAAATTAAGTTTTTGCTGGATTGCTTACTATAGAAAAAAAGTCATGAGGCAAAAAGAAAAAGCTCCCAATGGGAGAGATGAAAAATGTGGTATTGCTACTGTGGAGTAGCAATCTAGTAAATAAAGGAGAAGAAATTAAATAATAACCTGGTAATGAGGGGAAGTTAAAATAGAGCATCAAGAAAGAAATACAAGAGAAAAAGTTAGGTTTCAACAGTTTTATAAAGCATGTCAAAGACAAGGAACAAAGAAGCAGCTATCCTGTTCTGTACTTATATGTGTTACAAACAGCTGCAAACGTCTGGAAGCAGGAATTACTGCCAAAGTATGCTGTCTTTACGTGCTTTGCACTCTGCTTCCAATTACTGTATTTTGCTGTTTTCCCTGCAATGATTCTGTAGTATAGTAGGGTTCTTGGGGAAAATGCATGCTTGTGCACTTATACTTTCCTTATTTTAAATAATTGAAAAGGTACTTTGTGTGTGTGCTTTTATAGATGTTGAGTTTATAAGGCTATTCTCCTTGGTTTTTGATTTGCAGTCAGAACTTGGTATATGCATGACTGTACAATTCAGATTTCAGTGCTGCTTTAAAAAGTTAGTGTTTCGTGTTTTGCTCCATCCAGAAGTACCTCTTAGCATCTAGTGTTATTAATAACAACGTGAGTTATTAACATTTCATATTGACATATTTGTCTCAGTCTCCTAGGAATGAGGTTGCTTCTGGGTTACAAATATTCTTACTGAAACAGCTAAAATTAATACTGAGACCTCTCTGGGATAGGTAATGCAGTGATGTGGAAGAAGGTTCTTGATGAAAAATTAATTTGGGATAAATATAAATGAATCTGCTAAAATGTAAGTGGCTGTTATGCAGTAATGAAATCTACTTTTGATAATAAAGTTTGCCCTCAAGTATTTAAATTGCTAATGAATGAATTAATGCAGATACATATTACTCCATCATATTACTTAGTACTGTATATTTTTCATATGAGTAATGCACACTTTTTTCTTTTGAAAACAATAGGTGGGCAATCATTCTTCAGCCGAAAGGACTCCATACGAACCATATACACATCGCTGCACAATGAACTGAAGAAAGTGGTGGCAACAGGCCGGAATGCAGTGGGAGGGACAGCCCCACACCTAGAGGAACTGCTTTCTCACCTATCTGAACAGCTCTGCTTTTTTGTTCAAGCACGGATGGAAATTGCTGACTTTTATGAAAAAATGTATAGTCTCAGTACTCAAAAGTTTATCAACTCTGAAGAACTGATAAACTTCTTGGAATCCATACTAAAAAAATACAGCTCAAGGTCAGTTTGTGTACTTTGTATATTGTGCTTTTCCTGTTTTTTAGCAGACGGGGAAATTGAAGATCGACATAGGATACTTTTCAGTGTAATGGCACAGTCCAGATTCTGTGTTTTAGAGCGGTGGTTCCTAACGTTGGGTAACCCAGATAGATCTCCAATTCCTAAAAGCCTTCAACACCAGCTGTGCTGGCCGGGGTTTCTGGGAGTTGCAGTCCAAGTACACCTGGGTTACCCACGGTTGGGAACCACTGTTTTGGAGGGTTTTTGATTTACAGTGTTGAAGATGTCATACCACATTTCAGCAGAAGCCTTGCTGAGGCATTTGCACAAATACTAGTGGACCATAGGAACACAGCAACACTAGTTCATCCTACTAGTTATGTATGTCCTTGTCCCGTTATTATCTGTCCTTCCCCTATTCTGTAGCAAGGTCAGAAGGAATGTACTTACTTCCCTTGCAGCTACAACACAGACATCTGCAAATTAAATACTGACTGATTTACATAGAGCCCTAAGGGGTAAAGGAGTGGACATGCCTAACAAAAGATTTGCAATATTTTGGTGTATATCAAATAATAATGCTTGAAATGTTGTGTCCTTAGAGCTAAATGTCACAGTGACCTAGCTGGTGTCCATTAGATATGTACTGTAATGGTAAAGTGTATAAAGTGCTTTGTTGTTGTTTGTGGCTAGGATGCTATTAAACTTTTGTACCAGCATAATAGTCATCATAAATCTTGATGGTGAATTGCCACGAGTTAAGAAGTCAGCTTAGCAACTTAGTGTGCAACAGCAAATGCCTACATTGACTTCTTAACTTGTGGAAGTTCACTACTAAGATTTATACCAGTTGCTATAGCTGATAGAATTCTGGCCATTCTCTCCTCCCACCCACCAGTTTGCTTGCATAGGTAATAGATCACAGCAGAAAACAATATTTGCAGAAATGATAACATTCTGCATCTGCATTATAGCCATTCACACTAGAACAGGGAAAGGCACTTTGTGGACCACCATACATTGCTGGACTGTAGCTACTGTCATCCCTTACCACTGGCTGTAGTGTTCAGGGTTGATGTGGGTGGAAGTCCAACAGCTTCTGTATCACTGCAGATTGCCTGTCTCTGCTCCAGACTGATAGCAGGTAGAAATAATAGTTTTCCTGGCTTATATATTGAAATGGTTCTCTTTTCTTTTCTAGATTTCATCATCCAATCCTGAGTCCTCTTGAAAGCAGTTTCCAGTTAGAAGCCGATGTGCTTACTCATCTTTTGAAGGCCCAGGCACAGATCTCGGAGTGGAAATTCCTCCCATCCTTGGTGAATTTGCACAACGCGCACACAAAGCTACAAACCTGGGGCCAGATTTTTGAGAAGCAACGAGAAACTAAGAAACACTTGTTTGGTGGACAGTCGCAAAAGGCTGTACAGCCTCCTCACCTTTTCCTGTGGCTGATGAAGCTAAAGAATATCCTCCTTGCCAAATTTAGCTTTTACTTTCATGAGGCACTCAGTCGACAGACAACACCATCTGAAATGAAAGCTTTGACTGCAAAAGCCAATCCCGATTATTTTGGCAAAATTTCCAGCTTCATTAGGAAATATGATGCTGTTAATGTCTCGTTAATCTTTGATAACCGTGGATCAGAAAGCTTTCAGGGACATGGTTATCATCATCCACATTCCTACAGGGAAGCCCCAAAAGGAGTTGATCAGTATCCAGCAGTAGTATCTCTCCCTAATGATAGACCAGTTATGCATTGGCCCAATGTCATTATGATTATGACTGACAAAGCTTCTGACCTGAACACATTGGAAAAGGTGGTCCACTTCTATGATGACAAAGTTCAAAGCACATATTTCTTGACTCGTCCTGAACCTCACTTTACCATTGTAGTTATTTTTGAATCCAAAAAGTCTGAGAGAGACTCCCACTTTATCTCTTTTCTCAATGAAATTTCATATTCCCTTAAGAACTCTAAAGCATTTGCAAGTCTGAAGCCTGGATTTAAAGGGTAAAAGTATTGACTATTAAGGCAGCATATTGGACTGTGAAGAAGCAACAAGCTCTAGGCTCCTAGAAATGTTCATTTTGCATATTTTTTTAAAGGAGGTAATTATTTTGCTATTCAGTATTTAATGGTAAATATTAATATTAAACATTTTTGGAAAGAATCTGAATGATATAAAGCTGAATTGGTAACATGAAAACTACACAAATATGCACTAAAATCATCAATATGATATTTTGCTCAACTGCTGTATTAATTATTTTTTTAAATCTGTGATACATTGTTGACCTTACCTGAATGGAATATATGCACTTTATCTTTTGCTGGTTAACATCTGCTGGAAACTCAGTTTGAATAGCGTTTTGGGGTGATTTTTTTATTCCAAGATCTGTTTCATAAAGTACTCTTCAGTCATAGTCACTGGAAGGTTTTGGAAGGAAATAATTGCAATAAATTAAATGCATCATTGGTTTATGGTTACTTATCTGAAAATTTTGTTTGCAATCACTCTTTAGAAGCCTCTAACTCCCTAATAAGATGTCAGTCCTGAACATGCATGTTTTTTGACATTTTTACCTTTGGATGCTGTTTGTGATTTAACAACGGGAGACAGAGCAGTACTTTAAAGTTTACAGGACAAATTTGAAATCTAATGCTTTTATTGCATAGGTTGTGTATATAGGTATGTAAAATGTTAAGAACTTAGGAGCATAAATATATTTATATATCAGTCATGGATGTTCATGCATAGAATTAAAGATGGGAATTTAGAAATGCTTCTGCAAGAGATGAAATGGGAATGGAAGCTTGATTAAAGTAAGAAATAGCACCAGAACAAACAGAATTATAATACTGAATTGGATTAAAAGGACAATACTGGGATTTATAATTGAATTATTTTCCTCATCTAAATACTAGAAAAGTAAATACTGACTTTTAAAACTCAGACACCATATTTGCTGCACTTACCCGAATTTACAAGCTGAGGTATGCCTGTGAATGAGCCTTTTGTTGTTGTTTTTTTTCCAAAACCCACTACATATATTGGTTGTAGTGTTTTAGATGACTAAAGATGTGCAGAGAATCAGAGACTGGGGACTCAACTACACTGCAAAATATCACACTATTTGAGCTGCATTTTGCACTGTATTTCAATTTAATTTCTCCCAGCTATACAATATAAAGCTAACTCTGAGTAACTGCAGCCTTTGTAAATGGTCAATCCATTACATTTTGCTTGGCTGGAGGGAGCTGCTACTGTCTTGTGTCAATTCTGCGTGCATTGTTTCGTTTCTGGCATGTATGGTTGCCTATATTGGTCCAAAGGGGTAGTGGTGGGTATGTCCCAGATGATGCTCACCATAATGTCTTCAGTGGACTGTAGTATGGCAGTGCAGCAGGAACATGCCCTCCAGTGGGTAACTTTTCTCCCCTCAGAAGTTTTTTTTAAACTGTGTATAATGGTTCTATCAAATGTAACCGAGTTATCGCATAAGTGGTGCCTGCACAGTTGCTTTGTGGATAAAAGGCAGCAGCTGCTTTCAGTTATTATGGGAAGATATTTATTTGCCCCCACTTTCCACTAAGCCATTGAAAAAGCAAATATTTTTGCATGTCTGGATAAGCCACCACCCTCCCTACAATCCAAAGTCCTCATTTGAAGAGAAAAGTACGTGCGTGCACAGGGACTAGAGAACATCTTCTATCACACTTGAAAGCAGCAGGCTAGTTTTGAGGGCACAAGGCAATTGAGAGCTTTTTTTCTGCCTGTACAATGTCCTTGGTCCAATCTTTGGTGTCTTGCAAGCATGATGTGCAAGGCCTCAGGTTAGTGATGCAATGATAGGATGCATCGCTGGTCTGCTTGGTATTACAGCAGCTTCCTATAGCTAAATATAAAGCACTTGCCTGCTCCATAATCACTCCAGTTGCTCAGAATAGCAACCTAAAAGCTTTTCACATTTCAAATTTTATAATCTTGTCACTTCAGTTAAAGGTCTTCCTTCAAGATAGAAAGTATTAAAAGTAGAGTTTTTTTTCCAGTACTCTTGCAACTCTTACATTTTTAATAACATTCTAACATGCAGTATTTCCTCCTCTAAAAAAAGAAAGACAACAGTTCCAATTTTGAGCCAGAAGTTCTGAAAGTTGAGTAGCTGATTATAGTATGGTTTGCTTTTGACTATCCTTATCCCCTCGTCTTTTGGATACACACTTTATCATAGTGAAAGGGGGCTTAAATGCGTCAAGGAAGCCTTGAACACTGCCCTTAGGAGGGTGGACTCCATTATGATTCTACACTCATAGCAGGGTACCCCAAAGCAGATTAGTCAAAGCTGAGACACCAGATTCAGTGTGTGATCACACAAGGAAATACATTGCAATTTGGAGTGCTCGCAGTGTAGTCCAGTGCAATGTTTCTCAGTAGTCAAACAACATACGGGGGATTGCACTTCAGCCCAATCTTGATCCATGTCAAATGGGATCGTTTTGATTGAGCTGTAGGGCTACTATTTGGGGAGTGGGCAGTCTAGAACAGTTCCTTGGCAGACAGAAAGGTGGCTTTAAGGGAGATAGGTAAAGGTTCCCCTTGACATTTAGTCCAGTTGTGTCCGACTCTAGGGGGTGGCGCTCATCCCCGTCTCCAAGCTGTAGAGCCAGCGTTTGTCCATAGACAGTTTCTGTGGTCACGTGGCCAGTGCAACGACACAACGCCGTTACCTTCCCACCATGGTGGTAACTATCTACTCGCATTTACATGCTTTCGAACTGCTAAGTTGGCAGGAGCTGGGACAAGTGACGGGAGCTCACTTTGTCACGTGGATCTGATCTTACGACTGCTGGTCTTCAGACCTTGCAGCATAGATGCTTCTATGGTTTAAGCTGCAGCGCCACCATGCCCCCCCTGTTGATAACAGATGAGAGGCAAATAGAAGGTGAGGGAAATAAGTTTACAATCACAGGTTTTTGGCAACTATCACAGAGACAAAGAGAATTGTTAGAATAATCAAGAAAATAGAAGAGAACAACTAAAAAGGTTAAATTAAATCTTGTCTATAAAATTCAAGAAATCAAAGTGGAATTTAAACCTAGTTTAGGCCTTCTGATAGACTAATGCACTGGTTCTTAACCTTTGTTATTCAGATGTTTTTGGACTGCAACTCCCAGAAGCCTTCACCATCAGCTCTGCTGGCTGGGGTTTCTGGGAGTTGCAGTTCAAAAACACCTGAGTAACAAAGGTTAAGAACCACTGGACTAATGGAACCAACGATCTGACTGGGACAGAAATATGGAAAAAGCAGAAACAATATGCCAAAGAACTATTCAGAAGAGATGCAAAGATGACCAATTCTTTCGAAGAAGAATCCTGTAATGAACTTGCTGTTTTCGAAAGTGAAGCTAAAGCTCTTCTGAAAGCACTTGAAATAAATCACCAGGAGTAGATGGGATACTGATAGAGCTGTTTCAGGCTTTTTCAATCTGTCAGAATCCTGAGTAGAATATGCCAGCAAAAATAGAAAAAAAAAACAATGAATGACCCACAGTCAGGAAATTTTAAGTATACATACCAGTCCCCAAGAAAGGAGGCAAGAAGGAATGAAGTAACTATAGAATCCTCGCATTAAAAGTAATGCTGAAAAAGTTGGAACAAACACTTTTACCCTACAGTATGTGGAGCAAGAAATACCTGGTGTTCAAGCTGGATTCTGAAAAGGAAGAGACGCTAGATATTATGAATATATGTTGGCTACTGGAGTGTAGCAAAGAACATTAACAAAAAGGTCAGGCTATGCTTTATAGACTACAGTGACAAGAAACCATTTGCTATGCTCAAAGCAGAAATCACCCAAAAGCATGAATAGAAGTACCAACAAGCTTAATATTGAATTGTTAATGGGTTATGATGACCCTGTTGGAAATAGTATGTGTTTTATATAAATAAAGATATAAAGAAATAAAATAAATTGTTGAATTTAGTACATGACCTGGACTGACACATCATAGAGAAAGTCTTCTGTATGAATGGATTTCATGGTATGTGCCCCAGGGTTGGTATGTGATGCTTTGCGAACCACTTACTAGTTTTTGAAGCAACAGATAAATTGCAATGCAGTCATCAAATTAAAATCTCTGTGGAACATTTTTGCCTGAGTTAGAGGGCTGTAAGCCCAGTTTTATGTGCATTTTGAGTGAACCATATGCATATTTTATATACCATGAAGATCGAGACATCTAAAACTATAGTGTTATGTAACCACTTCAAAAACCAACTTTATTTTCAATACTTACCTTATAAACCTTATGTCTAGCAACTTGATCTTTGTGGTGTTGTTTTTCTAATTCACACTGTAGTGAACTGTCATGTAGATTGAGGCTGTGCTGTCCCAAGTAAGCAGTTTGAAAAGACAATGATCTACACTGCTTCTGCAGCTTGCTGTTGTCTGGAAATGAAATATTTAATGTGTTAAATTTTTGACGACATGCTAAGTGCACCTTTTGCTAGTGAAGTTTTGAGCATTTCCCGTGAAGCAAGGGGGAAAAATAGTAAAGACACCGTTTCCTGGGGTGGGTAGGGGGAAGAATGTATTGAATGCTTGGGCAGGAGATTCAGCAGGAAAGAGTGAGGCAGAATCATCTGATTTAATCATTATATGAACTGAAGGCCACTCAGATTTGTTGGGGACAGAAAGGAGAGTTCTTGTTTTCGCCTAATCCTGTATTTTCCTTGCAAGAACATTTGTATTTGATATTTGCCCAGATCCATGATCACACATCAAAATAAATATGTTCGTAGAGTGTAGCAGGTTATAATAGGATTCGGGATGTAAAACAAAAGTAACTAGCTTTGATGGTATTAGAAGGGTAAAAAGGAACACCTAGGCTATTGCTTCATGAAATCCATTAAAGGACAGAATAGAAGAAAATAAAAGATGCTAGACTGGGTCACAGCTTAAATCTGGCTTCCCTGCACCAATATATGCTTCTAGTGGGCACAGAGATACAGTTCCATCTTTGAAGAGCTCCTGTGCAACAAAGGAGGTCAAAGACTAAGAAGCTTTTGCACTGAAAGATAAAAAACATCTGAGAATAGCAGTTTACACATAAAGTATATGTATATTTTGGAGCACACATATGATTGCAGAGGACACATGGCATCTTCTTAAGTCTTTCCCCCTACAAAAGTGGTGCTATTTTAGATCTACTATCCTGTATCTTTTTAAAAGGAACAAGGCAGGACTCCACCACTATTTAAGGCATGGCTGTGTTAGAGGACTCTTTATACAGTATTTGCTTCACCCCATGCTTGAATTCCGCTGTCTCCCTGAAGTACTCAATATGATACAGTATATGCATATCTGATGATACATAAAACTTGTTTGTATCTTGGCCTTCAAGTATCAAATATAATGTGATTCGCTGTCTCTCAAAAGCAGCAAAGCTAGTGGTTGTCACAGAGGGCACATGTGT